GAATCCCATTCGGGTTAAGCAGTACCTCGTCCCCATTAAGGATCACCGTCTGAAATGGCCACAGTGACCGTGTGCACGCGTACCTGCAAGTAGGCCTTTCGAAGGTCAATCACAGAGACATTGGATCCTTCGTTCGCCATTCTCTCAATTTTGTTCGTACACACATCAGCATGAGCTGTGTATGTCTACATGTTCATTCAGTTCTCTATGATCTAGTACAGGGCGCACCTTTCCTTGTTCTTTTGTATCCCACGGCCATCAACGGGATGAGGCCTCTTGGAGGACCAAGCTCTTCCTCGGGATACGGAGTCAGCCATCCGTTATCCAGCCACACCTGCAATTCGTGCTGGTATTCTTCCTTGACGCGTTCGGGCACCGAATATTCTGACACTCGGTTCTGGAGCTTTTCTGGTGGGTTATTTTCCGATCATTTCCCAAATGCTGTCCATGTATTCGTCCTTTGGTCGAACTCTGCACTAAAGTCGGGCTCGTTGATCTTCAAAGTAGCACAGATGGGCGGATCAGAAAACTTGACTTCGCCTGTCTCTGTAATGCGTATGCCGCCCAGCTCATAATAATGTCCATCCCAAGGAGCAGATCAAAACCTAATAACGCGCTGTCCACGACCAACACACTGACTGTGACAGTGTCACCGTTATTAATACTGAGTTTGATGTTTCCAACTCCCGGCTTCCGAGCCCTTTCCATCAGCCGTTAGTACGTCCATCTTTTGTCTGCTCCACTGTCGACCGTCGAACCGTTGGTGAGTGACCGAGAAACAGCCGAATCTATTAAAGTGGTACGTGTTATTCCATTGATGTGTACCTTAATCACAGGGCGCCACTTAGGTGCTTGGAAGAGACCAGCGCTGATGTCGCGTCCCCATTCCATTTCCCGGGCACTTAGAGGCAATATGACCTACTTTATGACATTGAAAGCATCGTAGATCGAGGCGTGCCTTTCACGCCCGACCCATATTTCTTCGCGTTGATAGCGGCATTCTCTGGCAAAATGATTCGGCCCAGAGCACCGATAGCAGGTGGCAATGCCATGGTGAGGAATGGCGTGCTTTATTTGCTCAATGTAACTTTTCTGTTCTTTACTCAGCTGCCTATACACAGCAAGGGCACCGCCATTCAATCGCAGAGGAAGAATCCGATCAATCTTCGATATCTCGCATAATTCGCAGACCAGTTCCACCTTTTTGATCCATTCAACCACAGACTGTCCACTAGTATCACCACTGAATTCGGGGATCAGTTTTATACCGAACGGTCTTTCCGCCATCTTGCGAGAGACAAAGTAAATGCCGAAATAGCTTGAAGAGTAAGCGTTCTCAAAGCAAATTTGTGGCTTTCACAACACAAAGAAAATCACTTGTAACGCGTCAGGAAAATAACTCATGAACGCCGTAGCCAAAACTGCCCGAATTTTCCTTCGCCGAGTCAACAACACCAACTGCTTTTATCAGCAGAACCTATTTTTTCCATTCATCAACAGCTGGGATAGGATGCTCTGTAATTTGCATATTAATATCCTCTTATAGCGACTCCTGCAATGGACTTGTTTCTTTTTTCCGTCACAGAATACATGCGACGCGCTGTCGCTTGGGTTGACGAGGTAAGTCGCTATAAGAGTTTTGCTGACTACTCTTTGGCAATCCCTCCCCGGCAGATCGCACACAAAACACGTTTTGATCATCTCGTTCACTACACTGTCCATGCTATTCTCAGTGTAGGGATGCAGAAGGTGATTATCTCCCTTTTTATTGGATGAATTTACTTTTACCCTACAGGATCTTGAGTGTTAAATGACAGCTTATTGGTAAGAATAGTTCAGGTGCTGCTTAGACTTTGAAGGAGACAGGTGTGGTAACCAGTATCAGTTTGATGAACAAGAAAATTTCATTCATCCTAAGAACATCAAAACACTACCATGATTGTACTGTGTCCCTCCAAAAGACATCAGAATTAAAATCATTTATTCATTCTTTCACATACTACTTGCTTTTTTGTCATATGTGCTTTCAATTTCTATATGTAGGGCAAATTCTAATGGAAACATATATATAAGATTTAAGAAACAGCATATATTTTTATATGTAGTGCTCAATATTAAAAATTTTTAAATAATATTAAAAATGGAGTGTTAATGATATATGAAAAGATTACTTAACTTTTGAATATCAATTTTATCTGGACATTGATGTTTCTTGGTAATTAAATTGTAATATTTGGTAATTCTTATTATTAATTATATTATAATATTTTACACTATTTACATTGCTTGGACTATCACCCTCATCTTTGTTGCCATATTTATCACAATGTTTTAGCCGTTCTACACTCATGCCTTCTTCAGGTGATTTGAATGTCGAATTGAACCCTTTATTTCCCCCTCACTGAGGTAGACTGTTCTAGTTCCATGTGCCATATCTAATAGATGTCAGTTATCAGTTATCTCCTGTTAATTCCCCTCTCCAAGTTCTTCACTGCCTTAATTGGGTATTGAACTCACAACTCTTTGGGTCTTGTCACTGGATCTAACTAATGTCTTTATCCACCATGCTATGTGTCCATCTGTGTATGAATTTGTAGGTATTATAAACCTAATGACTTCAGCATCATTTTTTAGCAGATCTCATATTGCAATTTTTGCTGTTATCATATCATTTTTTTAGCAGATCTCATATTGCAATTTTTGTTATTATTGCTTTTCTCAGACACTCCTTATCATTGGTTCCCTGATAACTGACATCCATTAGACATGGCACATGGAACTAGAACAGTCTACCCCAGTGAGCAAAATGAAGGGTTCAGTTCAACATTCCAACCACTTAAAGAAGGCCGGCGCATACAATGTATAGGACCTTGGGGGGGGGAGATGAGAAGAAAACACGTGCGTTTATATTTCCTGCTAGAAGGTCCAGCTACAATATGAAAATGTTGGACTCTGATTAAGTCCAACTGAAGATAAGGAAGACAAACAAACAAGACCGATATATATTAAAACAAATGTGTATTAACAAAAAATTCAAAACACATAGACAGTTAACATGAATTGTTTGTGTGTGAACATTTGTGTGTGTGTGAATGTTATTTTGGAGAAATTCATAAGTGTTCGTATTGTGGTGAATGTTTGTAATGTTCATAGAGTTTTCCCAGAAATGGGAAACACTGATCTTCTAAGAGCTTACATCTTGTGACTGAAATGAAGATGAAAGAGATTTACCTCGCCTCTATGCGAGGTGGGATGCAGCCCGAGGCTTCTTGAGGGAAAAAGAGAAAAGGAAGAAGTTGCTTGGTATTTATAGCGTTGGGAGAGAGACCCCTGGTGAAAATTGGGGAATTAAGGAGGAAGTAACTCAGACAACAATGGCTGAAACTCAGAATATTTTCCTAAATTTTTAAGATTAGTTGGAATTTAAAAATGATATAAAAAGGAGCTCATGTTATATTCTTCATAATTTTTACAGATATATCCACTGTAGAAAAAAATTGAATAAACTTTCATCCATCAGTGAAACTATCAACACCTTAACAGATACTGCTGTATTAAAAAATGCATTTCTTCAATATTTTAAAGTTAAAATAAGCAATATATTTTAAATTCAAATTAATTAAAATTTAAATCGGCTAATATTTATTGAATAAAGTTTCAGAAAAGTTTATTTTATTTTTGAAAGATTTTTTTCTAATAAAAAGAATTACATAATGGATAGCTAAAAATGGCGCTAAAATCAGCGATAATAGCAATTTCTGAACGAAAACTCTTTCCAGTAAATTAGTTCTGAAATACAGAAAAAAAAAAAAAAAAAAAAAAAAAAGAGAAGTACACGGTGGTCCGAAAGTCTTGTCACTGCTAATTTACTATTTCAACCCTCTGTGAAGTATTATCAAGGAGAAAGTTTCACATGAACGATACCAGAATACCCATCAGTAGAATGATGTTATTCAGACAGCCTTTGCAACAATCAACAAAGCGCCACATCATTTTGTGTCTTGAAAATGATGGTGTTTATCCAGACCTTCTCGTCTGTAGTAACTGTGTCAATGAAAGTGAATAAACTGACTGAATCCAGTCCATGTGCTTTGTATTACCGTCATGTTCTTCTATTGTTCGCATTAGTTTTTGGTAGTGGGTGACAAAGACTTTCGGACCACACTGTAATTTGCTTATTGGAAATATTAAATTTAATGAATCAATGAGCTTGAAATTAAAACTAAAAGCTTTTTTCATTTTTAAAAATTAATGTTAGACCTTGTCCTTAGGTATCGCATTTCTGTGGAGGAACCTACAGTTTCGTATTAAAAAAAATGGATGATTGCAGATTTTATGTGCAGAATCAAAAATTCAAAGATTCATTTTGTTATGAAAGCACAGTTATTATTTTGGACCTTAAATAACCAAATATCCTGTTTTAAGTTTATTGTTTCTTGAATTTGGAAACACATTTACGTTGATGTTGATTGAAAACAACATTTTCTAGTTCAATTTAAATATCAAAATGCACATTTTAATGAGGTGTGGCAAGTAAATGGTAACTTTTGAACATTGAATGAAAAAAATATACAGACAGCATCAAGTATTTTTATTTGAGATTTGTTTATTTGGCTATACCGAGATCTGTATTTTTTTTTTATATATACAATAGGACAGGTCTCTCGGCATACGCCCCGTAAACGAAATCTAACTTTCTTCTTTTTTATTTGCTCTTATTCACAGTTTTAAATAAAACTAAAAGTATCAACCTTTTTAACCTAAAAAAAAAAAAATGAACAAATGTTTGTTTTTTGTTTTTTAACCCTGGAAATGATTTACTTTTTTCTTTAATGCCAAAATGTCCCGAAGTTACAATGAGTGACAAGACGATATAGAGTCTCTTCTTTGAGATTATCAATAAACAAGGCAGCGTATTTCGTAGACGTGGTAATGCTATATTTTTAGTCCCTAAAATGAAAAAAAAAAGAAAATGAACGGAACAAAATGTGGTAACTTACCCTGAGTTCTTTTTCATATCGTTCGATCTTGTCCAAAGAGTTGTGCTTGAAATCGATACCTATTGGCATCGTGCTCAGAAAAAGAAAACAACGACTTGTCTTTCTTTTGGTTTTATGATTGTAATGAGAAAAACAGGAAAGTTTTCTCTTAGAACAGACTTTTTAAAAATACATTAAAACAGTGACAACCAGAGCTGTTTCGCCCGTCTTTAAAAATAAATACGTGTGGTTGTTGTTAAATGTAAACTCGTTCGTTGCCAAGAAAGAAAATGTCCATCTTCCAACCGGATCCAGATCTGGTCGTTATGGGCATCAAGTTCGAACTTGTCCGTTTTGCGTTTGGCTAGATATTATTTGGCAGAACCGCTGAATAAAGTAGAAAGAAGAACAGAAAACGAATGTCTGTATTTGTGCATTCATTTGGCGAGATTAAAATGACAGATTTTTACTACACCTGCAGATTTTAGAACGAAAACCCGGAAGACAAAGTCACGAACCAATGTCTTCGTTTTTAATTTTATTTCTATGAAATCTGATAATGTCGGCGGAGATAAAGAATAATATTTATTTTATCCTAAGCAAGCAGTGACACCATATAAAAGTCAATAAAGGCTAGCTAGCCATGTTTTAAGCGAATTACTAATGAGACAGAAAAATCAGTTTTTAGGTCTCGGGTGAATGATAGTCTGTGTGAATTGGGGTTCAATATGGTGGCGACCGTAATTTAATATATTACGAATCTAACACTTCCCTTTTGTAAACATTACAACTTGTATGTAACTTATCAGAAAGAAACGTCAATCTTATCTATTACATGGGAGCCTGTATATATGAAGTTATGTTTCTGTTTGAGAAACGATATGAAAGAGAACATTATAAACATTGTCGATTTTGCATTTGAATTGATTGTAGTTAGCAGCTTCTTCTGACTGAAAAGAAATAGCGCTTGAATAAAACGCATTGGGAGCAGAATTTACAATTGAGTCATTTTATTCAATATCAGAAAGCATATCCATAAAAAAAAAAACTTAAAAAGCATGCACATAAAACTCGCAATAAATTTTCAGTCATATTTAAATTTAATTCATAAATTAAATAAATAAGTTAACTAAAAAAAAATGCACTATGATACTGTAAATAAATGCTGCTTGTGTACTATGTTGAAAAGATTAATGTGGCTGCGTGTTGAAGTGCATTTAACATTTATACATGAATCAAAGAAAAACAAAGAGGAAACGATTTTTGTTTCAACGATAAAATATATATTAAAATCAACAAATACAAAACAATTTTGTAATGTGTGAATATTAAGGAAAAGAAAGTAGTTTCCCTTTATCTATTAGCTTGAATAAGACAAAATGTAATTAAGAATGCTTCTTGAATAGAATGTTCAAAGTTCTATGTTGAAATAGAATGCTGCATTCAGAAAAACAGTTAATTCAGTTGTGTGTTATTTGTATAACTAAAAGAGTGTTGGTTTGTAACTTGGCTTGTTCACAGAAAATGAATGGTGAAATGCAATTCAAGTTCTGTGTCTGTAGTGAGTAGAATCAATAGTTTGTGTAGACACGTGTGAGTTGCTGGGTTCTACTGTCTATTTTTGGAAGAAAACACTGCTTTTATAACTATTGCCAGGCTCCAGGAACAAAGGCAGAAGAATTGAATGAATACAGAAAATATATAATTGGGTGAAAAATTAACCAATCGGTGATTTTCTAACAAAAGCATGTTTGTGAAATTCACGGCAGAAAAATTCAGTATGGTGACTACGATTAGTAAATTGTCCTGTGGTAAACAGTATTTATTATTTAACCAATTACAGTTGAGAAAACTGTAGGTGTGGCAAACGTAGTGTGGTGTTTGTGGGAAGTGTATATTCGTTGGTAATTGTTGCTTGTATAAGAAGGTAGGTAAGCAGTAGCAGTCACTTATGGACAGCTGCTAGTTTGGCCTAAAGGTTCAACAAGCAATCAAATTGAGGTCACCATAACATAAACAAACAAAATATGAAAGAGAAGGGTATATCAGAAACACTTTATATTTAAATACACATCAATGATAAGTATAATGTTTCTTGATTAACACGCACAAAGTCCGTTATTAAAATGTTCATTCAAAGAAAAGAAATCAGATTATGAAAAGGAATTAAAGTGTCATTTTGTGAATACTTAAGTTTAGGCGTGCAGGTCCCAGGAGATGAAAATTGAGGTCAATGGGTTGGTAGGTGTCATTTGATATCTCCGTTGGTGAAGGAAAACTGGGAGGCATCGGGTTGATGGGTGAGAAAAGCGTGGCGACATTCTATGACGGTAACTTCAAGGCTTTCTGACCAGAAGTGAATTCATCGTTCTATTTATGTGTGTCCATCGGATCTGAGTCAGTATGCTGAAACAAACTGTTGGATATGGCGCGGGACCGTTTAATTGGTAGAAATTGCTTATTATATTCTTTTTATTTCTTTTTGATTTTCCACCGGAACTTATGCGTCGAGCCTGGTGCGCAAAGACCAGTATTGGTCATTTGCTATCTAGACCTCTGAGGGTTAACATCCGGTCCTTCGCTTGCTCAGTACCACCACAGTAGTAGTAGTCACTGAGTGAGAACTCATCCCCTTTCATAGCAAATTTTTAAAAATGTATATGGAAAAAAGCAGGACTTAAATTTTACTACCGTCCATGATTAAAAATTTTACGTAATGATGTATGATCACTAGAATGAGTATTATATTGCTTCTTTTACTGCCTGAAGATTGTGCGAGTAAAATTAACCATCTGTCATCCACAGGAAACTTTTATTTGCGAACAGCAGTAAATTTTTAAGTAGACTTACTGTTTTTCTATGTTTCATTTTTTTACCAATTTATTTATTTTTTCATATGTAAATGGACTACTCCACTATCTTGCCAGTAAGCTATAAACATGGAGTCATTACAACAGTTTTTAATTTGTTCTTAATTATTGCTATGTGCATGAAACTCAGATTTGCATTGAATGGTGACAAACAGATGTATATTTTATATTTATTTTTAGCATATATATATATATATATATATATATATATATATATATTAAAATTTAAGAAACACCAGATATTTTATATATAGTGCTCAATATTAAAATATTAAAATAATGTTAAAAATAGAGCATTAATGATATTATATGAAAAGATGACAACTTTTTAAATATCAATTTTTATCCCAAAATCAATGTTTCTTAGTAAAATTTCCAGTTATCAGGGGTAGTTTTGAATGGTATTTCCAATTTTATATATATATATATATATATATATATATATATATATATATATATAAAATATATGAGGGGGTGTTAAAAAGATCTGAACCTGACCAAAAAGTAATTAAAATTAATGCTAATATTTGTTTAGAGTTTAGGAATTAGCTCTGGCCTAGAACTTTTCAGCATCCCATTATGTATCTGTGTATATTAGACAGTCTTAAAAAAATGTTACATTTACACAATATATAACTCTGTCCATAGTATACTGAGCACTGTATTAAAAAGAATCAGTGATAGCCTACATTTAATTGGAATTATATTTCCTTAAATAATTAATCATTTAAATTATATATATATATATATATATATATATATATATATATATATATATATATAATATCAGTGGTTAATATACACATATATATGCAATCATATATCTAAACTATATAAATATATATACATACATACACATACATATGTATATGTATAAAAAAAATAATTCCAAGAGGATAGAATCCAGGTAGAACTCAATGTCCAGGACAGAGTAATTATTATATTATTATTATTATGTGTGTGTATATATATATATATATATATATATATATATATATATATATATATTTTAAGCATTTCACCCCAAGCAAGGTGGGAAGCCACTAGGACGCAAGGGGTTACAGAAAATTTAGAGAAAGATCAGATAGGAGTGATAGAAAAAAGGATGAGGGTAGTGGATAGATCAAGGCAACTGGAGATGTCGATTGACATTACACTTGAATAGCTGGAGATTATAGCTCACAGGGAAACAGGAAAAGGGAAGGCAGTTCCACAGGCAAGACATGAAGCTATTAGAGTAGAAGAGATGGCTATATTTAGGAGTTTTGACAGTGAAGGGGTGAGAGCGGGATGCCATCCTCGTAAGGCGCTGGAACTCATGACGTCTGGGAACCAGCGAATGCAGATCCTTGGAGCAATTTCCATGAAAGTATTTGTAGAACAGACAGAGGGAGGCGACAGCGTGTCTGTGAGAAAGTGACTGTAGACGAGACGCAAGGGCCAACCACATTGCATATCCGCCTCTGGAGCCTATCAAGAACCCCGAGGCAAACAGAAGGGGCACCAGACCATATATGGCAGCAATACTCCATGCAAGGGTGAATTGTGGATTTGTAGATCTGGAGGATCGACTCCAGGGAGAAAAACTTCCTAGCGCGGCTCAGGGAGCCACTTTCCTTGCAGTGGATGAGGCAATTGATGTATTTATTCCATCTAAGGTCAGCAGTCAACGTGAGACCGAGAAGCCACAGAGAGTTGCTCTCGAGAAGTTGAGTGTCAGACATTCTAATGGAGGGAAAGGAAGGATCTCTGTGGTAATTAATAGAGAGCAGTTTTGTCTTAGAAGCGTTGAAGTTGACCAGCCAATTCATGCCCCAGTTCACAATCGATTGGAGGTCCTTTTCGAGACACACGGCCAAGCGAGTTTTGTCAACAAGACTAGATTTGTTTTTGAGGCAGGAATAAATTGTGGTGTCATCCGCGTAAATGCTACCTTGGGAAGTTATTGCGTCAGGAAGGTCATTTATGTAGAAAAGTAATAGAGTGGGGCCTAGGATGGAGCCTTGAGGAACACCTGCGTTCGTGGGATAGGAACTGGAGGAGAATCCATTGAGAATGACCTTCAATTCATGGTTTGACAGGAATGATCGTATTAGGTTATATAATCTACCCGTAATGCCATAACCCTGGAGCTTGCGAAGAAGGCAGGCATGCCAAACCCTATCAAATGCTTTGGAGATGTCTAGTGCCATGTCTCGGGCTTCCCTGTTATTTTGGAGA